TATTAAATGATCCAGGAAGTATTAAAAGAAGATGGAAGGAATATATTGAGAGAAAATATATATACAATGTAGTTGACATAGAGAAATCAGGGATGGATGAGATTTTTAGAGTGAGTAATTTGAAGAATGAGGATGCTATTTACTGTGGTGGGGAAAAAAGACTAACAGGGTTGGCAGTTTTGAGCTGCTTATATAGGAAAAGACAATAAAGATGTAGTAATTAAGAAGAGGATCTAGAAGTGTAGATCTTTTTATCCTGAAATAGCAAATTATCTGATATTATTTACTAATCTTGGGGAGAATGGGAATCCTAAAACACTTGATTGTGCTCATGGGATACCTATACTCAGACCAGGAAGCAGTCCTCAGAAAAGAGCAAGGAAACACTGCATGGATCAAAATCAGGAAAGGAGTACATCAGGGATGCATCCTGTCTCCATACCTTTTCAATCTATATGCAGAAAAGATCTTTCAGGATTGTGGCATCAAGATTGGAGGAAGACTTATCAACAACCTATGTTATACAGATGACACAACTTTGCTTGCTGAAACTGAGGAGAACCCGAAGTACTTGCTGCAAAAGGTCAAGGACTGTAGTCTTCAATATGGATTGGAGGTCAACATCAGGATTCTCATCACTGGGCCAATTGACAACATTATGAAAGATTCAGAAGGTTGTTAACAGTTATAGTTTGCATGACTCCATAGTCAACACTGTTGGAACCAAGAGTCAAGAGATCAAAAGATTAGTTGCATTGGGAAAAATCTGTGGTCAGGGCCCTCTCCAGTGTACTGAGAAGCAGCGATGTCAGTCTGGAGAGTAAAGTGTGCCTGATCCAAGCCATGATCTTGCATTTACTTGCTATGTATCAGAGATATATGACAGAAGAACAGTCAATGCCTCCGAGTTGTGGTGCTGGAGAAGAATCTTGAACGTATCGTGAACTACAAAGAAAACAAATAGATCTGTCTTGGAGAGGGTGAAACCAAGTTTCTCCTTGAAGACGAGAATTTTTAAGCTCTTTTTGGGCATACTTTGGCCATTTGGCCGGGAAAGGGACCAGTCCTTGGATAAGGACATCATGCTTGGAAATGTGGAGGGAAAGCACAGGAGAGAAAGCCCCTGGATGAGATGTTTTCATACAGCAACTGGGGAAATGAGGGTATGCGTGTCACAGTCAGTGAGACTGACTCAAGACAGGACAGGCTTCAGAGCTGTTGTACAAAGGGTTATTATGACTCACAGACAATTCAGCAAAACATATGAACAACATCATTAATTGCAGGGCAATATTGAGTCCAATTCCTATTATAAGAAATAAATATGTATTCACTAATAGAAACATAAAACCCCCAAATTCCTTTCTATGACTATATTATGGATTCTGTACAGTATGGGAATTTTTTTTATGTGTTTTATTTTATTAGAAAAGTGACACAATCAGAATTATGCTTTGGGAATTTGAATTTATCCTTGTCAAGAGTCCAGAAGAATAAAAGTTAGATATTGAACTTTGTGACTGTATACCAAGTATTAGGAAGATTGGGATAAATTGCTGGTGATCAGAGACGCTGTTGTTCTTCCTGTTTCATTCTTAGTTTATGGCCTAGAATAAAGCATGTAAAAAGAGTTCACCAAATAGAAATAATTGCACTATTAGTTCATTGAAAAAATTTAGTCATGACTAGTAACATATGTCAATTACAGATTTTTTTTCATAGAAATTATATTACTTAAAGGTGATAATGTAATGAAAAGTGCCAGTGGATTCTGTGGAACCTCCAAGATAGTGATCCATAGATGCTCTTCAGGCTTGAAACTGAACTCTGCTCTGGGCTCAGCTTTCAGCCAAATTACAGACACACTTTTACACTTGAAAGGTGAATAACACGAGGGAGAGAGTTACACATGTCTTAGAACTGTAAACTGTATGAGATCACAAAGGCAATATTTACCCATGGATAAAGCTCCGAAGTCCAAAAAGGAAAGGCATGGAATTAATAGGAATTGTAAACACAAGGAGGAATTGTAAAGATTGCTTTTGAATCATGAAGTTTATAATCAGTGTCACAAAACAAAACCTGTGTGAATTGTATGGAAAATAAGTTTTTCTTTGTCATCTTTTTATATAAAAGGTCACCATACAACAATAAAACCAAGTATGTGACAGAACATAGTACAGTAGCAAGTAGATCTGTAGAGACATGATTTAATTACCAGATTAAAGGTATGGCAGTCATTATTATCTTTGATGTTGTATCTGACTTTTTAAGAGCTTGCAACAGTTGGGGCTATTTTAAATTTTTGTACCTACATAGATTTGTAGAGAGATTGGCTCAACAGCAAAAAGTCCTTTCAGTGGTACTGAAAGGCTCAAATACAGAGTACGTGGTCTAAAATGATGAAAATTGTCAGAAAGGAATTTCAAGAAAAACTTTTCCAGTTATTAAGAAAGCTTAGAATCACACAGAATAATTTGTGCATGATTGTGAGCAATGGAAATGCAGAGAAAAAGAAATAAACACTAATCAATAGATTCTAGACCTTTATAAAATTGGGTAAAGGGAACGACAATATAAAATAAGAGATTGATCACACGTTGAAATAATTAATTATATTCATTCTTAGAAGACATTATGTAAATTAATAAAAAACTGATATGCATGTCCAACCACAGTGGAATGGATTGAGAAATTATGGTACAGTCACACAATGGAATACTATGTAGCACGCAGGAGCAATGATTTTGTAAATTACTACCAAACTTGGGAGGGACTGGAGAGCCTTATGCTAAGTGATTAACTCAATCTCTTAAGGACAAATACTGTATAAGACCATTCTTATAGAATGAATATGAGGTTAAGGGGAATTGGGGGGAGCAGAGGGCTGAGGATGGTCCAGGGGGATTGGGAGGGGGTTGAATAGGGTTGCACAGTTTGATGGGTGGAGTGGGGGTGAAGGAAATGTGAAATATCTGATGTGAAAAATAATGTATACAAGCTATAAATAAACCAGTATAAAATAAAATAAAAATTTTAAAAAAGAAACAACCAAAAACACAAAACTGATACAATTTGTAAACTTTCACTCAAATCACAGTTTTACAAAATGTTTTCAGAAGAAGGATGGAAAGAGGGAGAAGCTTTTTCAGAGAAGAGTATTTATCACTCAGGCTCCCTTATAAAAAAAATGGTTAAAGCATTCAGCTGCTAGCCAAAAGATTGCTGATTCAAGTACAAGAGTTCCTGCTTGGGGAAGTATGAAGCAGTCTACTTCCATACAGATGTGTAGCCTCTGAAATCTTTTGGGTAACTTCTGTCCAACTAGGTCACTAGGAGTCAGGATTGATTCTACTGTCATGGGCTGGAGCCAATGACCATAGTTCTCTGCTTAAAGGCGATAAATTTTGTACCTTGGGGGTTTTTTTTTGTTGTTGTTTGTTTGTTTTTAATATATCACCTCTAATCTGTTCTTTCCCCTCATCTGTTTCAATATAATATACACGATTTATCCAGTTTTTTCTGTCATACCCCAACCCTCATGTCAGACCCATTCTACAACAGTGGCACCATGCAGTATTTGTCCCTTTGTGACTGAGATATTAAAGTGAGGAGGGAAAACTACAAAATGGTGGAAAATGGCATCTTTTCAGTATTTTCCCCCTCACCTGTAATATTTTTATTTTTTAACATAAAAAATGTTTTATTTTAACTTTTTTATTGTTCCACATTTTCTACCCCCCTCAGCCCTCCGCACAGTACACCTCTTGTTCCAGATTGTTGTCATGAATATAACGCCTAATCATATATTCCTTTCAGACAGCTCTTCCCCTAATCTCTTCTAATGCAGTGTTAAATTATCCATTCATTTCCCATTCTCTCCCCAGCACCCCTCCCTATCTGTCCCATTTTATAATACGTGTGTTACACAATATTTGTCTGTCTGTGCATCATGTCCTCTAGGCTCCCCCTCTTGTGTAATGTGTTATGAATTCCTTGTTTTTTAGTACTGCCCTAATGAGCGAACCATAGTTTTCCTGTTCATTCATTTGTTGATGGGCACTTAGGTTGCTTCCATCTTTTTGTTACTGTGACTAACACAGCAGTAAACATAGATATGGATGCATCAGTTTGAGTCTGGCTCTGGTTTCTTTAGTGTATCAATATGTTTTTAATGATAAGCTTTTAGAAGTAGGCTTAGTTCCTAAGAGATATTTGTATTTTTATTTTGGCCAAATATATTTTCCCCCAATATATTTTTTAAATTATTATTAATTTTAATGAAAGTTTACAGAGATTTGGGGTTTCCAGTCATTCTTTGTTGCACTTTTCTCTCTGCCCCTCCTCTCCCCCTATTCAGTCTTCTCCTTGAAAAGTAAAAGAAAAACACTTTCACTGTTATTCAATCTCTCTCCCCAAGTCCACTCTACTGTGCAGCCTTCATTCTGGACTCCTGTCATGAGAAACATCAAATGCTGGCGAGTTTGTAGAGAAACTGGAACCCTTATTCACTATTGGTGGGAGTGTAAAATGGTGCAACCACTGTAGAAGGCTTTCTCAAAAACGTTGGAAATAGAGATACCATTTGACCCAGCAATTCAACTACTAGGAATGTACCCTAAAGAAACCATAACCGCCACCCAGGTGGATATATACACACCCATGTTTATCACGTCTTTGTTCGCAATAGCAGAGAGGTGGAAACAACCCAAGTACCCATCAACAAACAAATGGATAGAGAAGCAATATATCTTTAATATATGTATTAAGACTACAAGTTTCTAAGAAATATAGAGTCTATTTTGCTTGATTTCATGGTTGATTGATTGTTCATAATGCTTTTAGGAAATGTCATTGCTAAAACTGTACCATTTTTTTCAGGAGCTACACTAAGTATGAGGCCTGCTCCCATTCCAATAGAGGACCCAGAATGGAGACAAACACCTCCACCAGTCTCTGCCACATCTGGCACCTTCCGGCTTAGGCGGGGTAGTCGGTTTACCTGGAGAAAGGAATGCTTGGCTGTCATGGAAAGGTACATTTCTTCTTTATCTATGAGATTCTTTTATAGTGAAGAGGAAAAAAAAATGACTTTTTTTTTAAAAAAAGAGAAACTTTCCAAAACTTTTTTCTTTAAAAAAGATAAATTTTTGATTGTTTAATTATTGGAGTTACTGGTTTTAGGTCTAAAACATTTTAGACTATTATAAACTCTGTATTGTTAATGAAAACAGCTTAGTTATCAGTGTTTATAAAACATTATAAAGAGCCATGATAACCCACTGCTACCATCAAGGTACCAGCCAAAAGGTTTAATCGTCCAAACTCATCAACTGTTCCCCAGAGAAGAGGCCTGGTGATTGTTCCTGTAAAGGTAAAAGCCTAAGAAACCTCACAGGGCAATTCTCTACCCATATTTGAGTTGCTGAGACCAACAGCAAGGCTTTAGTAAGCATCTAAGGAACGCTGGGGAGTAAAACAATTAAGCACTAAACAAAATGGTGATGGTTCTAAGCCACCCAGCATCTCCAGGGGAGAAAGACTGGCAGTTTGTTCCTACAATGGTACAGTGTAGGAAATACTACTGGGTAGTTGTACTCCATCACCTGAGGTTGCTATGAGTCAGAAATCAACTCAACAAGTGCCTAATGAGGAATTTGTAATAATGACTTCAGCAATTTAAGAACTTTAGGAGGAAAAAAAAATGTAATTGTTTTAAAAATACAGATAAGACAGTGCTTGCCAGTTCAACATTTGTAACATGTACAATGTAGTTAGATCCATTATGTAATGAATGAACATTTGATTTATTCTGAAGACCTAAAACCTGGTCTTGACTTTGCCGTAGCCATTTTTGTAGTTGTGTACGTCTCCAACTCTGAGCTCTTCATGTTCTCATCTCTAAAATGTGGTAACGTTGAATTGCATGCTACTTAGGACTTTTCCCATCTCTCTTATGGCTTCTTTCCTCCTGCCCCAGCTCATTAGCATCTCTATCCAAAAGTTAGAGAAGGATATTTAAAATGTTGAAATTTGGACCATATTTTCATTCTTTTGACCAAACTGAAATTAAAATCTTTACTTAAAGAGAAGGTTGGATCCCCTGGCCACAGTGAGACTATAAGTTATCCATTGATGTTACTCATCTGTTACCTTCCTCGTTTTCTTTATTTCAGATAAGAGTAGAAGTCATTTCTTGAATAATGAATGCTTATGCGCTTGAGTAGTTAAAGTGACAGAGTGAGACTTGATTGTTCTGGAGAGCTGACATTTAAAATCTGCTCTATTTTTCTCAGTGGAAATTTTGATTAATTTAAAATTTTTTTACAATATCCCTTTATTACATAGTAGATGAGAATTAACTTAATGGGTAATTTAAATTATTTGCAATATTACAGATTTTTGTTCAGTTTAAAAAATAAACTTTGACATTTCTATTTGGTATAAATTCTCATTGTCTTATAATTGCTGTTTAATTATTTCATGAAGATAGCAGTGTACATTCATCTGACAATATTCATGAGAAAGGAATTTATTTTAAAAACATTAGTATTAATTGGTAATATTCTTAATGCATTTCCAATATTTTATCTCAAAGTCTGTCAATAAGCATAGCTATAAAGTCACTGACTAGATTAAATTTATTTAAAAAAAAACATATTGGGTCTCACCCATGTAAGATTCCCATTTTGTATGTATTTCCTCTTTTTAACTTTATTTTCAATTAGTAAGCATTTTATCTAATGCAGAAATTAGTTACCTTTTCTCTTACCTGGCACTAGTAGAAGAGAGTATAGTTTAGTCCAGTAGTTACATAAATGTGAAATGCATCCATCAGCATAGATTGCAAAACCAGTGGTGTAAGTGCTCTGTAGAAATGTTACTATAAGATAAAAGTAAAAAATTATTTCGTTCCTTACACTTCATGGTAAGAAATGATGAAGCAGACAGATTAGGAAGAAAGTCCTTCCAACAATCAGCCAGTGAAATACTGGGAAATGTTGTACACCAGTGTTCACGGTGACACTTTTTCATAATAACCAGGAACTGGAAACAATGACATGTCCATCAATAGATTAATGGAGAAACAGAATGCAGTATATGCATACGAATGACCTAGTGCTGACAAGTCTCAACTGACTCATAGCTGACCCTCCAACAGGTTTTTGGAGGCTGTAACTTGCACAGAGATGGCTCATTTTTCTCCTTCATAGCAGGTGGTGAATTTGAACTGCCAGAGAAATGCAGCATTTGAGTGAGCAGTGCAACACTGTACAGCTTATACCACCTGAGCGCCCTAAAAGAACACTGCTCTGCCATAAATCATGATATTAAAATATTGACAACAACTTACACTTCTGTCAGTCATAACCTGAGTAAATAAATTGTGGTGCATCCATATATTCAGTGTCTGGCTCCTTTAATGGAGTACTTGTTGTTAGGTGCCGTCGACTCAAGTACAACTCATAATGATCCTATGAACAGCAGGTCTGAACCCTGTCTTAGCCTGTGCTGTCTTCAAATTTCCTGATACACTAGTGCCCATTGCAATAGTCACCATGTCAAATGGAGTACTATGCAGGCAAAAAAAGGAGCAACTCTTATATAAAGTGCATCTTCAGGGAAAATGTTAAGTTCTAGAAAAGAATAAATCAGATCCATAATTAACGTATTTTCTTACCATAAGGTATTTCCTTATAATTTGTGTAAAAATGCAAGAAAAATTAAAATAACTGTTGGTAGAAGAAAATGAAAATGGAAGGACAGGAATAGATGCTAAACTTCTATAAATATGCCTTGTTTAAGTAGCTTACATGATTATAAAAGAAACTTAAAATGAGAGAAGGAATTGATTGTTAAAATACCCCAAATTAAACAAGCAGTCCTAATACTATATTTAGCTGATGGCTTAAACGGTCAAAAATGATATCAAACAACTTTGCTAAGAAACCCACTGTCACTGAATTGATGACAATTGATTACAACAATGTAGAACTGCCCCATAAGGCTGTAAATCTTTATAGAAGCTGACTGGTACAACTTGATCCTGTGGAGCAGCTCATGGATTCAAACATCTCACTCTTCACTTAGGAGCTGCTTATTTTAACCATTGTGCCACCTGGGCTCCTTAAGCCTGGCTACATATTGGGATCACCTGAAGAGATTTTAAAACTTACAATGTCATCCTTATCAACTAAATCATAAACTATCAAGACAGTCAGCATCATTACACTAATATGTATTACAGCTTTCCATTTACTTAAGAAGATGTGGCAAGTCTAAGAGGAAAAATAAAACAAGAATGGCAAGGCTATTAACAGTCATTGGTGCTGGATATAAAGTATACCAGAGTTCATGAGGTTTCTATACATGTTGTTGTGTACCATAAAGTCAGAGCCCACCCATAGCTGGTTTTCAGAGGCAATTAATCACATGGGAGGAGATTGCCCATTTTTCTCCTGTGGAGCAGCTGGTGGATCTAAACCACATGCCGCCTTTGGGATTACAGTGCAGCTTCTTTCCAGTAGGCTACCAGAGAGCTCCCTATACTTGTATAGTTTTGAAATTTTCCTTGCTAAAAGGTTTTTGGTTTTGGTTTTGTTTTTTTGTTTGATTTTTTTAAATTGTTGTTTAAAGAGGACCTGACTAAATTTTAGTGCGTGACAGAGAATTAGACCATTGGCCAATATCTATTCAATCAGTCATTTATTGGTAGATCACTAAATAAGTCTTCCACTTTCAATTTTTTACAAACTCTTAAGGGAGAAAAGTAATCCATATTGTTCTGAAAATCTGCAGATAGTGTAAGATGTAACTGTTATTTTGCAAAGCTATGTGTCGTTTTATTAACTTAATATCTGATGAAATGAAAAGTACGTGGTTGATATGAGACAAAGTGCTTGAGAGAGATACACATTTTAGGGTGACCAGGAAATGGAATGGATGGTGAGCTTAATAGACCTGAAAATCTTTGGAGTTGTCATTGTTGTGTTATATGCCATTGAGTTGACTACAAGTCTGAGTGATCCTATGAACAGTGACTCTGGAACTTGCTCAACCCTGAGGCAACCTCACCATCTCTGACACACCTGACCCTATTGCCACAGTTCCTGTGTCAGTCCATCTTGCCAAGGGGTCATCCTCTTACTGTGCTGCCCTTCTCCCCTTCAAAACATGTTATCTTTCTCCAGGGACTGGCCCCCTTGGCAATATGCTCAAAGTATATGAGATGGACTTTCACCATTCCTCCTTCCAAGGAGCACTTTGAGTTCTGTGTCCAGGAGTCAAGTTTCGAGTATACTTGTTCCCACTTAATCTTTTACTGATTTAGGTTAAGTTGTCCTTTGCCTTTGGAAACAGATTTGACTCTTGAGTGCTAAGGTGTGTATATTTGGTACCTGGCTACAGTGAGTGTTATGGTCAAGGGAGAAAGGTAAAAAGAACCTGCATCATTCTTTAAGGGTTGTTCACTCTATTTAAGCAAGATAGGGGGAGGGGAATTATAGACAGTTTTCTGTATATGAAGGAATTTGAGACCACCCAACTCTGACCGGTTTAATCAATAGGCCACAGTAGGTAAGAGGATCAGTTTTAGAACCGGATTGTGTATTGTAGTCACTTGTTACTATTGTTGTTAATAAAAGAAGTTGGATGATGAATCTGTGTCTCAGTATGTGCCCAGGCAAATGAATGTGAAATACTGAATATTTCTTTATTAATATATGGTTAAAATCATTGCCTGTTCTTTAACATTAAATCATAATACCATACCTATTATAAAATTTTTGTTCATCAGTTCTTTTCATTTCCATCTTCAACAAAAAAGTGTTTCAATGCTTAGAATAAAATCATCAGTAAAACTCAGAATACTCTAAAACTAAAAAACATTTTTGTTGTTTCAGCCTTTGCCAGTCTTCAAAGCGACTTAGAAAAATTAAACCCAAAATATTCTCCCTACCAGGCAAGAAATCAGCCTTAAAAATACCAGCTTGAGTGTGAATTTCTCTTCCCAGAAATTTTTAAGCAACTAAAAAT